TTTATTAAATCAGTGACTTTCAGAAGCCCTTCTATTAGGGAACAACTTTTACCTTATGAAACGCACACGTTTGGTTTAATTTATAAGTTAATGCAATTTAAACCATTTGTATGTATTATATGACCATGACCATATGCATGCATAATATAATTGCCTTGATGTTCGATGTTCAGGATTTTTTCCCTTGAGTATGTAATAGCAATTCATCTGAGACATCTGAATATTGTGAGAATGTTTCGCCTTGTTAGTGTTTTGTTTACAGCAATACAATAGTATATGTGACTGAGCAGTTTCTGTTAAAAAAAGTTCTTGCTTTTCCTTGTTTTTTTTCATGATTCAAAGAGTGTTTTGCTATTGCTTTTTAAGTAAGACAAATTGTGATTAAGGATTCATCAGTTCTGTATTTGTTTATAAGGGAATAAGTCCCACTGAATTTAGCAAAACTTGCTTCTAACTGTATGATTGTACTTTTAAGTCTTAATGTTTAATTTATACAATGTACTAATTTGCATAAAGCAGAATATGCATGTTTCTGGAACTATTCTGTCTGCATAAAATTATAGTAGAATTGTTCCACCAAAAATATATGGATGATTGAGGTGTTAAAATTAATAAATTGCTTTTTGAATGCACGTGTTTTAAAATCATAAATTGGAAGTTAAACTAATTTAACTCCAAAGAATGAAGTATATTGATCCCTTTATCTTTAGCTAGGAGATGTGTATTTCTATTCATTGTATAGCAAATTGTAACAGCATTTTGACTAGAAGTGCTTGATTCTGAATTATGGCAGTCAGTTAATACACATAGGAAGTAAATATTTTGGATCTAGAAATTCACCCAGTAGTCTTTTATTGGCATTAGAAGAAGGAATGAGGTGATTCCTCTTTGATTTCCTCTGCAGCCCTGAATTGCTATCGTCCTTCTAAGGCTGCAGATGACCCTTTCTTGAGTGGGAAGCTCTATTGGATCCAAAATTCTTCACTGAAGATTCTTTGTATTTATTGTATAACTGGAGCAAGTCTGGATTAATGAACATTGTCATAGTGTATTTCAGTCTGTAACTCAGCAATAAATAACATTTTGTGTATGAGTGTGCTTAAATTGCCAGTATTTCGAGAGTGTCCTTGTTTTTCTTACTCTCTTATACTCTCAAGTTCTATGATAACTCGATATTCATCTGACATGATTAATAGTAAAACTATAGCTTTCATACACTTATAATGATACTATAATTTAGAACTTGGCTTACAATTTTGCTTGAAGATCCTCACTGATTTCCTCCCCTCCCCCCTTTCTTTGTGTTGTGTTCTGCTTGGCAAGATGATGCAGTGTCATGTCAGTGCTTGTGATGACATAGAAACACCAGAAATGGTAGGTACATTTTCTGTCTCCCTTGTAGAGTTAGGTGATTTGCTGGAGTTTGTGAAAGGGAAGAAAACTGTCTTCTAAACATACTCTTGACACAAGAGCAGATTAATCAAGAGCTAATTTTACCAATAGCTTGCACTAGGGAAAAAGTGCTAAATTTCATTACATTTTAGTGATGGAAGTAAAATCCAAAATCCTCTTCCCTGAAAATAATTACCATTGAATTAGATGGGACGTATTTCTAAATAGGCAAATATAATGCTTTCTTTGGTCATGGTTTGCAACATTTCTCCCTGCCATTTCACCTTGAGATTATATCTGATATAAAGTCTAAATACTTTTTAATGCAAGGTTCTCATTAGATGCCAGCTTGGGTCTAAAGATACATGACATAAGATTCTTGGTTTTTTGTGAAATATTTTCACAATATTATATAGCTTAAAATTGCTTATGTGAAAACTTAAGACTTTTTTTTTCTCCCTTTTTTGTTAGTTCGAGGGTGGATCAGGTTATGGTAAGCTTTTGTGCATACGTATTGAACAAAATTTATAGTTTAGTCATTTAAAGGGCAAGATGCATACGTTTTAAATTAGACTATTCTTATGCAGGGGGTCGTGGTTCTTACGGAGATCTTGGTGGACCCATCATTACAACGCAAGTAACAATACCCAAAGATGTAAGTATAAAGTTTACTTCTTTTTTACTTTTCTTAACAAAAAGTAATTTTCTAGTTTGTTATATTTACTTAAGTTCCAGTACCAAATTTATACGCTGCTCATAATATTATGAGAATAAGTAAAACTGATTATTTTTTTCATTTGCATGTACCAGTTATCTTTTTTCATGCTAATTATGGATTAGAAGTTACTAGTTCAGTAAAATATAATCTTATTTTCAGCTGGCTGGTTCTATTATTGGAAAAGGCGGTCAGAGGATTAAACAGATACGCCATGAGTCAGGAGCTTCAATCAAAATCGACGAACCCTTAGAGGGCTCAGAAGATCGAATAATAACTATTACAGGCACACAGGATCAGATTCAAAATGCACAGTATTTACTGCAAAACAGGCAAGTTGCCTTTAAGTTGTGACTTACTAATTTCAAGTAGATGTATTGCTTTTGTTGTATGTTTTTATAAAGAGAACATTTAGAGAGAAATAATAAGTCATACTATATACTAACTTCTCAATTTAGTAGTATGCTTTCTCTTCTGTCTTCCATTCTTACTCATTGAAGAAGCACTCAAAACTAATCTTTCAGGAAGTGTCTTTAACCAAAGCAGCTCTCATTTCTCTGGTGAAAACTGCTGCAAAAAGCCTACTTTAATCTTATATAGAGCCTGTAGAAAATATAGAAGATTTCAGTTGGACGTTGGTCTAGTTCTGTGTGGAAGACTAGTGATTTTGTTGTTTTTAGATTACTAAAGTGACAACAAATCACAGTCTACCATATGGCACAGTCCATGCCTCTACAGGACAAGTTGAAAGCTTTTGTTGCTGTTAATGCAGCATTTCACACCTCTTCCTTTTCTGCCATGTATAACAACTTTAGATTTTACATGCTTTTCTTTAATACCAACTATTTAGTGAGCATCTTGTAATGTATAACTTTTAATTTTGCCTGTAGATTAGCTACTAATTATGAGTTGATAAATGTTATGTTTTATATAATTTTATATAATTTTATATAATTTTATATTTGTAAATGTATTTGTAAATATTGATTCAAGTTGTTTATGCAACCATTCTAATATATGCCTTTTTTTTCTTTTTCCTTATAGTGTGAAGCAGTATGCAGATGTTGAAGGATTCTAATGCAAGATATTTTTTCTTTTTTATAGTGTGAAGCAGTATTCTGGAAAGTTTTTCTAAGACTAGTGAAGAACTGAAGGAGTCCTGCATCTTTTTTTTTTCTTAAAATCTGCTTCTGTTTAAAAAGCCAACATTCCTCTGCTTCATAGGTGTTCTGCATTTGAGGTGTAGTGAAGTTTTTGCTGTCACCAGATGTAATGTTTTAGTTCTTTACATATAGGTGGGTGGGGCTGGGACGGCCTGCAAAACTAACATTGGTATTTTGAAACAGCAGCAGAGATGGTAGATTTTTTTTTTCTATGTTGGTTGTAAACTGTAATGTTTTCTGTCACTTGTGAATCCATCTGCTTTATAATTTTTTTTTGTTTTTGAAATGGGGTGGTAACACTGATAGTCTGCTTACCCCAACATCCATTCAATGCAGTGTGCGAAATGTAAGCGCCCTTTTGTAAAATGTTCTATGATTTTAAAAATAAATTTAGTGAAACAATTCTTGCAGTTCTTTCTTTATGGATATTTTCATAGTTAAAATACACTCTACAGTCTACATTTATTGTGCTTGCTTTTTTCCCTTCTCTGTACCGGAGAAGCAGAGTACCAGTTCAAATATTTTGGTAAATGGGAAGTATTGATTGCACTGGTTTTAACTTTGGTATGTGTAAATAAATTAACATATGGTTTTCTTTCTGTTGCTCAAGTTGTATTTCACTAATTGTATTGCATTGCATTGGTTTGAATAAAATCTTACAAAACCTGTTTTGTCAATTAATAGCAAGCAATTATAGAAAATACTAAAAGCTTGATAATAGCCTTGGCAACTTTGCCCGTTTTCATTTGTTTAATATGTTTCCATTGTACAAAGATTTGAATGAAATAATTGTATATTTCATATTGACTGGCATAGGAAATGCGTGCTAAATCAATCTGAATGTTTTCATGTAAAATCCTGGCCATTTGTACTGATAGTTTCCAAGGTTATTTCTTTTATTGAAATAAAATAAAAATTGTAATAATACTGAGCTGGATGTGAATGTGACAGATCCTGTTTTTTAATAGTTTTTGTTGTGTTTTAACTTCATGCTAAACAAAACCATTCCTTCCTGTTTGCAATTATATATGAGATATTTCAAGACCATGCAAAAACTTTCAACCTTGTATAAGCAAAACAGTCTAGGTTTACATTACCTTGTCAAGTAAGCCTTGTTGAATTCAATGGGATTTCTATGAATGAATTATACTTACTAGTAAAGTTCTTAGTTTCTGAATGAACGGTATTTCCAAGTGTTCTCTGCAGGGAGAAAGTCCTGATAAAAAAGGGGATGGTGTTGGATGATTTTTAGAAAACTAATAGGAAACGTTAAAACCCACATGGTGTAAAGAGGATTGAATTACTACGATTGCTGAACTGAAGATTTTCAAGAGTTCACATTTCAGAACTGCATAAACTCGTTAGGGGGTCAAGATTGGTTCATCCACATACACACTTCTAAGTTAGCCTGGTTAAGTGGTGGTCGGATTCTGCCTTGGTTACAAAAACAATGGAGTGAAAATGGGCCAGTTAACCACCACTACACCCGGTAAGGAGGCCACTTTTGAAAAGCTTGTAAAGTCTGCGTGGACCGAAAATTGTAGCTGTCAGGAATCATCACTAATCGTGCAAAAAAGAAACTTACCCAACCCACCAAGGATTCACCATTCCACCAAATACAGTAAAACATGAGTAGCTGCTCGCGAGATAAGAGCATGTTGCAGCTGGCGCCGATATCCGGTAACCAAGTTTCGCACTAATTTATGCAAATATAGTCCATTCTGATTGGAGAGAGAAGCAAGGACGATTGGAGAAAGGTTGAAAGGAAGAAACGCCGTTTTGTATCGACGGAAATCACTCGTGGGTTTACTGAGCAAGCATACCTAAATCGAGTACGGTATTTTAAAAGGTAAGATGGATTTGATCTCTTGGCGAGACATTTTGCTAGAAGTCTTCACACTTCCGGGTATTCTCCGTAGGCCTAAGATCCTTGTTTGGCCATGTGAATAGAGATCGAGGAAAAGAAACACATTTTTGTTCTCTTCCTGCCTGTCATGAAAACCGTAGAAACGGGCAAGAATCAAATACCAACCTGAATGCGACTTGGCGCCTGTCAGTGTGGAACTGCGCCAGGGAATCGGATCGGATTGGCAAACGAGCGCTGCTCCTGTTGGTAGTCCGCTTTTGGCCGTGCCGCTTTTGTGTGTTCGATCACTGGCACTGGACTAGATCAACATTTCAAAATTCTGATGTAGAGAAAAAGCGCAGTCCTAAAGTGGCCTCGCTGTTACTTTGTAACAAGATTTCCTAAGGCGATCGGTAAAAGTGCTAATCGTGGCGGGTGTGGGGGACGAAAGATGGGGTGGAACTTTTTTCTATTGTTCGAGTGAACCCTTGTTAGGTTGGCTGAGAATAGGAGCACTTTCTATCACTTCATCTCTGCCGTTCATGCATTCATTGAAAGGTGAATCTCCTGATGAAAAGACATCGCTTTGGTTATTTTATTAGGCAATGTTGGTTTTTAACTGAGGAGGGTTGGGGGGGGGAAGTTTTCTAAAAATCAAAATACTGTATTGGTCACCGACACAATCTCTGCATTCAGTGGGCGGAGCTAAAGCCTTCAGAGCAATCACAACTAGTTTTATTTCTATAGGAAATCGTGGCTTTTGGTTGATTATAAAAGCTTGGGTTTAAAATAGGACTGGCCTAGCTCTTGGTTGCAGAAGGATATTAACTTTTTGCTATTATCTAGTGGTCGTCCAATTTTTTGCAGCCCAGATCTGGAAGTCCTTAGTAAAAGAAGATTCAGGGCAGAGACATAATGAGACTTAAGAAGTGAAACAAAAAGAAACAAAAGTCGGCAGAAGACAATGGCATAGACTTCGTCCCTGAAGTCCTCAAAAATTGGATTCAATTTGGTGAAGATTCTACATTTTATTCTCCCATTGCAATTTTGCTTTCTGAGAAAGACATTAGATAACCTTGCATGACCAATCTATTTATCTCTTGTACCTTTGAAGAAAGCTTAAATGGTGCACTGGTTGACTTGGAAGAAAAAAAATATCAGAAATATGTTGAAAGCATTGGAAGCACAAACTTCATTTCTCCCCCATTTCTTGAATATCTATGTGATAATGTTCACATATACCCTTCTGTTAACACCTTGACACTTTTGGAAAGAGTTCTGTTTATAATGCCACAAATGTGCTGTTTTCAATATATGGTCCGCAAGGATGGTTTAATCATTAAAAAAAGCATTGCAAAGTGCTACAGTTAAAGAATAAATATGTATCCACCCACATGGCTTTTCCCATTCTCTTCAATTTGAGCTTGGCTCAGTAAGATGTTTTGTTATTTTAATATATATGCAATTAGCTAAATAAAGGCTTTGCGTCAGCAGAGAATAACAAACATTGTTGCCGAAATTGGTGCTGCTGCTTTAAGAACAGAAACAGTTTACATTTTTGAAGGGTAGAGTGGTATACAAATTTGAGAATAAGTGCTGTCAAACAGATAGAATTTACTGCTGCATAACCTGTACAGGGATTGATTACAATTTGGAGAGACCTGGGAAGTTAAATGGATTGTCAACAGAATAAATGTTATATATCTTTCTTGAATTCTATCAACTCTATTTATAGGTCAAAGGCTTAACATCACATTTATTCAGAAACAAAGAAAATATGGAAGTAATTTTAAATCCTAAAGAATCTGCCAAGTTTATAGCAGAAAACAGCAAAGATGTGTATATTGAAGATGGTGGTGTGCAAAAGGTTGCAGAGATGTTGTTCCATAAAGTCACAGAGAAGGAATTCAGTGTGGCTGGCTGGAAGTCTTCTCATGAGTTAAACCCTCAAGAAGCAAGTGAAGATGCAGTGAACTGGGTATTTGTTGCTGATGTGCTCAATTTTTCCTTTTGGTCTGAACATGAAGACCATAAATGCTTGGTAAAATACAAAGGCAAGACTTACAGTGGCTATTGGTCTCTTTGTGCTGCCATCAACAGAGCACTAGACGAAGGTTAGTTTTCTGGATTATACTGATTAATCATTAGATGTACAGCTGAAGGGTGTGTTTGGACTTTACTGATAAATAGCAATAGAATAAACAAGACTCTTTCATGAAGTAGAATAAAATCGATAAGAAATTACAGGTAGTCCTTGACTTATGGCCAGAATGGAGCCCAACATTTCCATTGCTAAGCAAGATGTGGTTAAGTGAGTTTTGCAACATTTTTTGACTTTTTTGCCACAGTTGTTAAACGAATCATTCTGTCATTCAGTACATCTGACTTCCTCCATTGATTTTGTGGGAAGCTGGCTGGGAAAATTACAAATGGTGATGACATCACCCCAGGACAGCGCAATTGTTCTAAATACATGCCAGTTACCAAGTCTCCAAATTTTCATCACATGACCACTGGGGATGTTGCAATGTTCCTAATTATGAAAACTGGTCATGTCAGTTTTTTCAGGGCCACTGTCACTTCAAATGGTCACTATGATTGTAAGTCAAGGATTACTTGCAGGTGATCATGAATGTAATTTCACATAGTGCCATCAAACTATCTTGTTGTGTAATGTAACATTGAATCACTCCAGTGGCTAAGCAACCTATTACACTGAATGAGTAGCATAAAAATATGTACTGCCATTCCGAAGTATCAAGACTCAAATTAGGCTTACTTTTTTCCCTCTCCAGAATCTACCCATCAAACCAGGAATTAGACAAAATAAAATAAAGGCATTCCCATTGGAGGGATTTCCCCTCTTTTAATTTTCTCTGCCAGAAGGAAGAATATGGAGAAACTTGGCTGCAATAGCAGAAGGAAGGGATTAATTCTCAGATGCTTTAGCCCTATAAATCTGACTGGGATTAATCTGGATTAGGATTTGAAATTTACTTTCAACAATAACAAAGATTGGGAAACTTCACATGACATTCCTTATTATAAAGCATTAGGTGAAAAAGGATCAGAACATGACTATAAAGAATAATATATATGTTTCTTACTTTGCCTCTGCTTTGGATACTTGGCCCCAAATTGATGCTCTCATGGTATTAGACAAGCTTTGAGGGCAATGTAGTTGAAGGCAGATGGCCCAGACTGGAAAGTTGCATCTTCAAATTTCTCTTGCAGTCTTCTCCCAATAAACAGGGAAATATATCAACAGAATTAGGCCGTGCTGAGTAAGATGCATGCCTTTGTGAAATTTACAAATAGAGCATTAGCAGGAAAAACCAACATCTTCCTCTTGTTTAGTTTAAACATCTGGCTGGTATTCAGATGCATTATTTAATTTTCACAACTGATAGTTTTTAATAGATAAAGTAAGTTGACATTTCATTGATTTATATCTGTCAACATATATGTCAGTTAGAAGAAGCATTAGAATCTTAAGTTTGGAAGAGGACACTAAGGAAAGAATTTTAAAAATGATTTAATAAGCCTGGAGAGTTACTACCACTACTACTTTGGAGACCTCAGCTATTTATGTAAACAACCCTAAATAAAATATAAAACAATTTATCTGGCAATTATGAAATGCTCACAAGGACTTACTCTGGCCATTTACTTCACTCTTTTCTGCTTATTGCCAACCATGTAATTGAGTTCCAGTTCAAATAAAGATCTTTTAATTGCTTAAAATTGCAACAACCACAACTTGTTTTGCAAGGTCTCTATCTATTGGAGCCTTCAGCATCATCTTGGTCAAAAAATGGCTAAGCAGGATTAGGCTACAAGAGATTGACCAATTGTAGTAAATTACTTCTATGCTGTTCCGCAGAAAACTTGCCTGGACAGGACTTTGAAGTCACCACAGTCAAACTCAACTCAAAGACAACATTAGCGTACCCTCTTCCCTCTCTGCTAAATGATCATCAACTACTGAATTGTCTTTGCTAATGTCAATCAAAGGAATTTTTTTTAAAAAAAATTTACAAATATTTCCATTTTTTAAAAAATAATTTGAATTAAAAGTATATTAAATTGTAATTCCAATAGCAGGTCCAGTATATAATATTTAGAGGTAAATTAACTGAGAAATAAATTGTTTCATTGATCCAATAATCAGCCTAAATAAATTCTGTTTAATTGTTTCCTAACTGGAACATTTTAAAAATTTATTTGTCTTGTGTTTTACTAATTACCTCAAATGATTTTTTATTTGTTGCCCTTTCTGAAGGAACACCCATTACTAGTGCTTCTTATTATGCCACTATGACCTTGGATCAGGTGAAGCATGCATTTCGTTCTGATACAGAGGTGCCTATGCCTTTAATTGAGGAGAGACATCGTGTACTAAACCAAGCTGGAACAATTCTGCTGGAGAAATTTGGGGGCTCCTACCTCACGTGTGTTAAAGAAAGTGGAAAAAGTGCCCAAAAATTATTACAGATAATAGTGGAAAATTTCCCATCTTTTAGAGATGAAGCTACATTTCAGGTAAATCTCTTATAGGCTGCATTTTCACTAACCTCTTGGTTTCATTTTTTTTAAATGAGAAAAATGGACAATGAACTGGTGCATACCATAGTGTCTCATTTTCTGCTGTGGCACAGTGGAAAATACCGCAGTATACATCTCCTGTGATCTTATTGTCTGTAGCATAGATAGTGAGGCCATTAATGGTGTGACCAATATTCCCAAACAGCTACAGAATTGAAACCACACATATTTGCATTAAAATTATTCCAATATGTATAAATAAAAACTCACAATTTACCAAGATATATGATGACAATGGCAAGAATCCAGTGGGCACAATTTTGCAAAAGACAACCTTTGCCGATGATATAAGATTGAGAGCAATGGAGAAATAAGCTATATCCAATATTCAAAACAAAAGTCTGACCAAATTAAGGCAGGAATGGCTCCCTTACATAAAACATATTTGTTAGCAAGGTAAGATAGATTATGGCTTTCAGAGAAAAGAGTAATTGATTAAAACAACTGAAAAAAATGACCCAAGCACAGAATGTATCAGCAATAACCGCAAAAGCTTAAAGCAGATTATAATTAAGTACTGTAGCAGGCAATAGTTGGGGAAAAATGGCAGAGGGGGGTGTTACTTAATACTTCTTTACATCATATCTTATTGCATCTCTATTTTTGATTTTTTGCAATGCTTAGGCAATAATGAAACTAATGCAAAAATAGTGTAGAGTACATAGTGTTCTCTCCTCCAATAGAGCAAGAACTTTATGGAATAGGTTTGTGTTAAGATATAGTGACTGGCTCAGTCCTCCAGGTGATTTCTTCCATGAAGTGGACTTAACCCTGTATCTTCCCACTCCTAAGTCTGGCACTTTAACCGCCTCATGTATAAGCTGTCATGTTTCATATAATTCTCATCATATTTAGCTTCTCTTGAAATGAAAGGTGGTAAGAATAACATGTTGAAATACAATTAAATTTTGTAAATGTGACTACATTCCAATTATTCTAATTACTTTGTTGTTGTTTTTTCTCCTTTTCCTACCAGAGTAGAAAGGTAGCTTTTTACAAACGGGCACAGATCCTTGTGGCTGACACCTGGAGTGTGTTGGACGGGAAAGGAGATGGCTGCTTCAATGATATTTCCAAAATCTCTATATTTGCTGATTACAGGATACCACAAGTTCTTGTTCATTTAGGAGCAATGAGATATTCAGAAGAATTAATGAACAAACTTAAGAAAGGTATTAAATTATTCATGATCATGAAGAATTTCTATTTCATCTGTCACTTTTTATCAGTAGTCTTTTGATGTACAGTAGCAGAAATAAACATAGAAATTGAGAGTTATCTATTCCCAGAAAAAAAAAACAAATCTACAATTGTCTTCATTTGTGATAATCTACAATCCTACATAGATATCTTGGAGTAAGCCCCAATTACTTTTGAGCATAAATGTAAAATGTAAGTTTTGAGTATAAATGTAAAAGACAGTGCTAACTGAGTACCTTACTTTTTCACTTTTTATTCTTCAAAAAGAAAAAAGGGATAGGTAAGATCCTTTCCCAAATTTTCTGTACTAGTATTCCAGATATAGAATGTCATTTCTTGTCTAGGAATGAAGACATTTCATTTTAAAATTATTTCTAGGTGATGAACATGAGGAATTTGATTGCTAAAACACGTATACCCAGTTTTTACCCCTGATATCTCAATCCATGTGTACTTGTATTTGCTAAATCTTTCATCCATCTATGTCCCTTTCTAACAGTATTGAGGAATCAAAAGTCAAGTTGGCAATTGTCACCACATACATTAAACTCTTTGTACAAAAATGTCAGTGTCGCTTTCATATACAAAGGGGCAGTTTCAGTCAGGTGGTTGCAACTATCATCTTAACCAACTGGGCTAAACTAATCTCTAGATTGCAATTCATTTTTTATTGTAGCTTTTTGGCTATTGATATTGTGAGCCACCCAGGGTCACTATTTCAAAATAGTGTTTAAATCTAACTAAATAAAATTAAAAATCTAGAGGAGCTATTTCATAATGCCAGAGCCATAATAGAAAGCAGACCCTGGCCTATCCTCATGTCACATAAGCAGGGAAAAACTAACAACTTCTTTTATGTTCGGACATTCAGCCGTTGTACATCGATGGTGTTTTGGTAGAACAGGTGGCAGAATGTAAGTTTTTAGGTATCACCCTGAAACAGGATCTAACATGGGGGGCAAATACTTTAGCCCTAGAAAAAAAGGCTCATCAACGACTGTATTTTTTAAGACTTTTAAGATCACAACAACTGCCAGAAAGTCTGTTGCTTGCCTTTTATCGAAGCTCTATAGAGAGCATTTTATCTTATTGCCTCTGTGTGTGGTTTAGGAGTTGTACAGAGGCGGAGAAAAGGGCACTCCAAAGAGTGATAAAAAGGGCACAAAAGATCAGTGGATGTCCTCTTCCCTCATTGGAGGATTTGTACAACATGGGATGTAGAAGGAAGATACAAAAGATCTTGAGAGACCCTTCGCATCCAGGCCACCCGATGTTTGAGATCCTACCATCAGGAAGACGATATAGAGTGCTGAAAGCCAAGACAAGTAGATTTCAACATAGCTTTTACCCAAGTGCTGTGATCAGGTTAAATGCAAAGTTATGAATCTGGTGGTCTTAACACACATATCCTGGTTGTACAGTTTTTAAATTGTTATTTGCTTTAATTTGTTTTATATTGTTATTTGTATACATCTTTTGGTGTTGTTTAGTTGTATGTTGCGAAAGAGCACCTTATTTCGTTGTTCTCAGGTTCCTGAGCACAATGACAATAAATTTATCTTATCTTATCTTATATTAGATGGGAGGCAGTATAGCAGTATGGTAATTACTTGGTAGATTAAGATACTGAAAATATGTAACTTGAATGAACCCAGTTAATGTAAAAAAATGGTAGGTATACATTGATTAAAATATTTCCTCTTATATTCCCATTTTCTTTATTCATGTTACTTTCTTTGATCCTTCCCTACCTTGCAGGGCATATGTTCCAGTTTGGAGATAATCAGGAAGTGGAGATTCGAGGTTGTAGTATTTGGTGTTGTGAGCTCATTTGCAGCAGTTTGCTTGAACTTTATAAAAAGAAAGGTGACAACATGAGTGAAAAGATCAATGCCATTCTCCTTGATTATTATTTATGGGACTATGCTCGGGATCATCGAGAAGATATGAAAAGAGTACCTTTTCACTATGTACGTTCCATATACTATTAATACCATTTATAAATGATATAAAGCATCAAAATCTTCAAAACTTCTATATATAATTTGGATTTTTTTTTAAAAAAAAAAGGCATTGATGCCCATGCATTCTCTTAAGATTTCAATCTTTAATCTCAACTTTATCAGAAGAAAGGCATATTCTTGCATATTGACATTCCAATTCTGTAATGGGTTTGATTAAAATGCATAAAAGTAAAAAATCTGTATTACATATAAAATCAAAAGATATTTTACAAATTAATATTATTGTAATCAAATTACCTACTTGTGTACATGTATCTGAACATGCATTTGAGAAAAAACCATTTCAGTTTAAATTTCATGTATCTTCTGAAATTGTGTGCTGCTCATCAGGAATTATTTTGTTCAAAACATTGTAATGTCATTCAGCAACATTGATTCAGTTTATACACAAGATTTTAACATTTTTTTTCTAAAATTACAACTAAAGAATAAAACCAACAACAAAAAGCAATCAGTAATATTTCAATTATTTTAAAAATGTGAAGGTGGAGCTAACAAAAAGATTAACTGATTCTTTAGAAAACAACATAATCCTTGTTTATTAAAATATAACTTCTAGTTGACTTGGCTGATACAAAAGACTAAGCTGTAATTGAATGAGAGACTGCCAAGAAATCTTTGAATTGTAAGATAAAATGGGAAATATATATTTTTAAATCTTAGAAAGCTTTTTTTAAAAAAAAAGGCCTTGTACAAACAATCCGTAGGAGTTGACCTCAACGCAAATACATTTTTTCTTTGATTCTTCTGCATGCAGATAACAGGTATTGAAATAGGCCCTTTCTATACAGATAGTCTTCAACTTACAACCATTATTTTAGTGACCAGTTACAACAGCACTGAAAAAAGTGACTTATGACCCTTTTTCAAACTTATGACTGTTGCAACATCCCCAGGTCATGTGATCAAAATTCAGATGTTTGGCAACTGGTTCCTATTTATGATGGATGCAGCGTCCTGGGTCATGTGATCCTTTTGTGACCTGATAAGCAAAGTCAATGGGGAAGCCAGATTCACTTAATTACTAATTATTAATTACTGTTACTAATTTAACAGCAACAGTGATTTATTTATATAACTGTGGCAAGAAAGTTCCTAAAATAGGGCAAAATTCACTTAACAACTCTCTCTTAGCAGAAATTTTGGGCTCCATTGTGGTCATAAGTCAAGGATCTGTAGTAAAATCATGGATTCTTCCAAGCTGATAAGGTATCATGTAAAGAAGATAAACCATTCCTGAGCATGACTTTAGGGGGTGAATTGTCCAAACTGCTTTCAATTAGCTGGGGTGAGCAGGGGGGGGTGAAATGCCTGCGCCCCCTGCATCAACAAGGACAGTTGGGAATGATAACATCTGAGGATACCATGTCTAGGAGATAGATCAGAGGTCCCCAAACTTGGCAACTTTAAGACTTGTGGATTTCAACTCTCAGAATTCTGGGAGTTGAAGTCCACAAGTCTTAAAGTTGCCAAGTTTGGGGACCCGAGTTAGATGTTTCATCACCATTTATGGGTTTTTTTCCATGCACATATTCAGTTGCAATGGAAGTAAGGGAAGCACTTCAGTGTAAATTAAGTTCATTTTCCTGGTCCCTTTGCTTAAGACACGGCTGTCCAACCTTGGCAACTATAAGACCTGTGACGTTCAACTCCAGCATGGGAATTCTGGGAGTTGAAGTCGACAAGTCTTAAAAGTTACCAAGGCTGGACACCCCTGTCTTAAAGCAAAAAATAAATAGGCGCTTCACTCCCGCCCTCAGCTTTCGGGGACGCTTGGCGGATGGAAAACGCCGGTACCAGTGCGCCTGCGCCGACGGAGCGCTCGGCGGGCCTATCAGACGAGGCTACGGCGGCGGTCTCAGGGAAGATGCTGGTACTTGTCAGCGGCGGGAGCGTTTCGTAGTTGCCTGGTGAACGAACGTAAACAAAAGACGGACGCAGTGGAGGAGGGGGTGCTACCGCTGTTGTTGGGGGCCAGCCTTGAAGTAGGAGTTTGAAGGTCCGCTGCAAGCTCGGCAAGGCAGCTGCTGCCTGACAAGCTGGTCCCGCCGCGAGCGAGTCCGTTTGGATCTTCCGCGGAAGCCTAACGTGAATAGCGCAAGCTACGCGGACGTACTCGGGAGGGAGGAAGCGCTCGGGGGAGCTTGAGCGTGTCGGAGAGATCGGGAGGAAAGGGATGGGGGGGGTGGGGGTCTGAGTTAAAAAAAAAAACGGTTCAAAAAATCCTCTCATGTAGTAGCCACGCCTGTGATAATTTGTAGTGCGTGCTTGAGTATAGCGGTTTTTAATGGTAATTTTTTTTTAAAGAAAAAGATATTCCTGCACATAGGGAAAATATAGTACAAAATGGCATCATCAGGAGTTTCCACTATTTTAGTGATTCGTTTTAAGTCACGAAATGCCTGGCTTTGAAAAGTGCAAATCGTAGTTAAAATCTGAATACGTGAAACAGCAAACTGACAACAGCACCGTTGTAAATCATAAAATGGGATTAAGAGTTATGGTCATCTATAACTGACCAACTGTTAAAAGAAGCCCTCATTTCAGATGGGGCCCACTGAGTTTTAAGCTATTTTGGACATCCAGGTTACTACCACACTTCAATTAATCATTCTTCTTGGACAAGAAATACAGCCTTTCAGCAGTCACTATATACAAAGCTAAATCAATATTCCTAGTTCAATCAATGTTCCTAGATTTAGCATGTTTTTTTATTTCAAGGAAAGTAATCTCTAAAATGTTATTTTTTGCTTCCTATAGAATATCTTTTATTGTCAAATGTGGAAGACTGAGAATAGTTTGAAGAAAGAATTAAAGTAAGGTTGTGAATATTAAAATTAACAAATGCACATATAAACAGCAATGGAAGAAATTCCTGTTAAAGTGGCAGTACGAATAAGGCCTTTACTCTCAAAAGAAATACTTCACAATCATCAAGTATGTGTGAGATTAATCTCAAATACTCAGCAAATTATCATTGGAAAGGACCGTGTCTTCACTTTTGACTTTGTTTTTGGCAAGCATTCAACCCAAGATGAAGTCTATACAACATGTATTAAACCATTGGTAGCATCTTTGATAGAAGGATATAATGCTACAGTTTTTGCCTATGGACAGACAGGTTCTGGAAAGACTTACACTATTGGAGGAGGTCACATTGGTATGTTCTTCGTTATTTAACTATATGATCAAAAAATCACTGTAAAAGGAATAATAAGAGCAATCTTTTCACAAACTGAATATTTATTGATAATTGCTGTCCCTGACTCTTCATTTTAGAACAGGTTGGGACTAAAGGTTGGGTAATTCTATTAGTTTAATATGCAGCATGAAGATTACAGTAGTCTACCTAATATTTCCATACTAACTATTGGTCTAAAACATTTTAGCTTAAATGAACAAAATGTATTACAGATAATGTGGCATATTTCATTCTAGTTTCTGTCACATGTTTTCAGAGTAATCTTTTATAAAAGATTACTTTTATAAAAGATTACTTTTATAAAAGATTACTTTTATAAAAGATTACTCTCAATTCTTTCTAAGATACTAATTTTGAAATAGTTTACTTTACTTAATTGTCATTGCACCTCGTACAATGAAATCAAACACCCATCTTCAGTGCACATCATGACCATGAAAATAAACACCAACACACATCCTTCACACTTCACACTCCACACATTGAACCGAAAAACCCCGACACCACACCAACGCTGCACTATATAGTAGAATTCAACAGAGCTACTGCCCTGGGATAGAATAGCTATTGAATTTTTTAAAAGTCTCCATTGTTGTCTTCTTTTGGCCAGTTTAGAGGTTCCATGCAAATTTGTGAGAAGGGAAGCAAATTTAGGCTAAATACCCCATTATGTGGCCATATCACGAAAATTAACTCTAGAAAAAGGCTAAAACAACTGTACTTGAACTGAGATTGGTTATAATAAAAGAATCTTGAAACTCTTCTATACTTTCTCCTCCTCATAGTTCAGTGAATAAGGTAAGCATCTGTCTGAGCAGTTCTAAATGTTATTTTTTTGTTCTGAACTTAAAAAATGCTTCAGTCCCTTTTGCCCAGTTAACAGTTCCTGCATATCTTTGTCGATATCATCTTCCTAACCACATGTTCTTCTTACCTATTTTACACATGGCAAATAAATTGGTTGATAAAGGAATTGCAGTGTTATTTTAAAATTATACTGTGACATTTTCCTTGTGAATAAAATTTTACATGTGACCAGAACACTAGGGGTGTTAACCAGCATCACACTGAAGTTATGAAGTACTTTTCTACCCCTCATTGTCGGGGACTGAGGGAGAAGGTGAGAATCCTCCCAAATGAGGAAATATGTCCTCTCCTTCAACCCACCATACCAAAATACGTCATAGTCCAGAGCTCCTCATCACAACTTTTTGAAGTATTTGTGGTGTTCTGGGAACTATCAGAATGAGAAAAGAAAATAGGTCTCTCTCAACACCCCCCCATGTGACACGGAGTATTTTCCTAGGTTTGTTTGGATTTTGCTTAGTCCTTTTTTTCCCTGTATTTTTATCTGTGATGGTATTACTTATTTATATGACCCTGACAATTGAATGTGTCATATGTGTGTGTATGTATGTATGTATGTATATCATATTGAGCTAAAAGACATTCAGATTCCTTTTACTTCATTTTCAGTATTGCTATTATATTTTGGAATCTGCATATTTCAGCTCTGTGTTTAGATTAAAATCTTTTTTCTCATTTTAGCATCAGTTGCAGAAGAAGAGAGAGGTATTATTCCACGGGCAATTCAAGAAATATTTCAGATTATTTCTGAAAACCATAATACTGATTTTGCAGTGAAAGTTTCATACATAGAAGTCTACAAAGAAGAACTCAGAGATCTCCTGGAACTAGAGACATCTATGAAAGACTTGCATATTAGAGAAGATGAAAAGGGCAATACAGGTAGAAATATAAATTTCAACTAAGTTTTTATTTGCTAATAATTTTGAAACATTTTTAAAAATGTATCTTCATATTTTCTATAGAAGTACCTCTACGATATTGTTAAGTTCCTTTTATTAAAGTTGAATTATTCAGAGGAAATTTTTATGTAATTTGTTCATTTCATTTCATTTTTATGTAATTTGTTCTTTAAATGTAATGTTTTAATAGCCCTTTTCAACATTTAATAACATTGTTATTAAACTGTCACTCATATCTAAAATAGCACCTTTCAGCAAAATTAATCTTTTTCCATCATTCTGCTTTAAAATATATATTTTAAAAATCAGGAAA